TGTCCTGAAACATGTCTATCAGACAGAACACACCTTGTTTTATGGCCTTCTGATAGCAACACACACTTATGAATTCGACTGTATGTTCAGTGCTGCTCCTAAGGGTGTGCCTCCTGTTTGAATGCGCCCATGTCCTTTTGAGCTGTTACACACTCAAATAGCAGGAGTTTGCACTTTGCCTTTCAACTCTTTTCCAATTCATGCAAATGTGCAACTCTCAGCATGACAGAGATATGGAAGGAGAGTAAAGTGTTTGCATACAGCCATGTGAGTATTACAAGTAGACCATGACTGTGCATTATTAAGAATACTATGTGTGTTTCAGGGAAATGGTGTCCAATGAAAGAAGTTCCAATAGAGAGAAAGTGCCTGCCTCCATGAACAAGTTCTGATAACAAACACTAGCAGGTATACAGACGCTGAAACGCAGGGTGCGGCAGCTGCAAGGAATGTGCTCAAGGCATCTTACACCACACCCAACTCCTCCTCTCGCCCTCTATCCCCCTCCCTCTCTGAGTCACCTGGCAGCCAGTGGACAGGTGTACAGGTCCAGGCAGAGTCTAGGCAGCAGCCAAATCCTGGCCTGCATCTCAGGCTCAGCATATATGGCAGAGGAGTCGGGACGATTTGAATTCAAACAAACTTTATTGACATGGCAGTTAGAGTTCAATGTTGACAATGGAGTTAGAGCAAAAACAAAGAAAGTGCATGACTAAGGTCTATGTTGGTAATGGAGGTTACTCGAGTGAGAATAATAAAAGTTCAATGTGAATAAAAGACAAGAGCAGAGCAGGACAAAATACTCAGATCCGTTACTTAAGTAAAAGTATAAATGGGTCATTCTACAGAAAAGGTGGAAGTGCTGTCACTTACTTTTGCAGACACCAAAATACATGACGTTGACCTAATACTCACATTCATTATATATGTTGAATAAATAGAGATTGTCTTTGCAATGGTACTAAATACAAAATAAAAAATGTAAATTGCAATTTATTTAAAATGCCAAGTTCAAGGACCTTTGTGTCCTTTTGTCACTTTGATCATACATGGAGCCTATAGTTTTAATTTTTTTTTTCAATAAATAAATCTAATTTATATTTACATAACATTACAAGCATTAAATATAACACTGAAATGGTAACAAAAAACGCAAATTATTATTAATAATATCAAATAAATATCAGTCACCCAAAATTACGTCATTGGTGTTACTGCTACACAAAACGCTTTTATTTTGAAATAATGTAGCCTAATGTCTCTGAAGTGCCTCCTGTAACAAGAGATGATTTGAGGCAGTGCAGTGGACAAAGACATAAGGAAAGGCAGACACTTCTTACTTTGTTTGTTTAAGGTGTCATTTTATCTTCAAATGTTACATGCGTCTTTCCCATTTTCAAATGGGAAAATGTATTGTATTGAAGAGTTAAACGATTTTGATATTGACTGAAGCCATATTTGGTCTGACACATGGCAGCCATTTTGTTAAAATGGTAGTGTTTTCTCCAAATTGTCACTGGTGTTACTCTTCTTCCTGGTAACACGTAACACCAGCGACATTCCTATACAAATAAGCTTTGTATAAAGTATAAAAAAAATAAAAATACTTTAAGCTCTACTTGTTGTGGATTCATCAAGTTAAGAGTTAGTTATTGCTATTTAACAGGTTTTAGATGTTTTTAGAAGGAATATATTTCAGCAGATTTGTATCACCCAGATTCCACCTTTTCTGTGAATGACCCAAATACTATGTTCTGAAAATACTCCATTACAAGTAAAAGTCCTGAGATTATAATCTTACTTAAGTAGAAGTACATATGTATTATCAGCTTAATGTACTTATAGTATCAAAAGTACTATGCAGAACTTCTCTTTTCACAGCATTATATAGAATACTATATAATCCTGATTGTGACGTTTAAAAATGCATGTAAAAATGTAGGGGTACTTAGTTACATTCCCACGACTGAATACCATATATGCTCCACATTTAAAAAGACAAATGATGCAGTACTAATTTGTTCAGCCATCACAAGCCTTCAAATTCGCTTAAGTGTCTCCTCCTAACAAACTGGAAACTTAGTGTTTAATAATGGATGTTAAACAAGTATATTTTATTATATATAGCCTAAAAACATACATTTGCTTCAGGGTTTACATTTTGCTCCCCTCTGTCTTTTTTCAACACTCACTTTGGATAAGTTCAAAGCTCTCCTTTGTCAATGAGGGAAAAGCAAGAAACCCCAGGAAGAGACGATGAGGAGGGATCCCTCTCCCAGGAAGGACAGACGTGTAACGGATGTCCTGTGAGACACATGATATCATCTTCCTTTTTCAGCGGAAAACGTTGTCGTCCAAGTGAAATGAGAGATGGGAGACAAAAGCACAATAACTAACGGAGAGTGGCTCAGCGGAGCAGGAGTCACTCAACATCAACAATGTGCAGGACTCAATTATTTCAGGTCTTTTACAGAAGAGGTGATGTTTTTTTTGGCAGGATAGAAATATAAAGCTATTTATAGATTATATTTCCTTCACTTGATGAACTTTCTACATCTCTATAGCTAAATTAGCTGCTGTCCCAGAGCTGAAATGTACTCCAATACTTTATAACGTTGATACAAAGAGGTTACTCTGTGAGTCTGCTCTTCTCTTGTCTTTCTTTTCTTTTTCTGGGGCCCTGTAAGCTTTCCCAGCATGCTTTTCTCACGCTGTAATGTCACATCTGAGTATAATGTGACTCGCTGGAAACTGGGGCCCTGAGGTCATCTTTACACTACTGTGCGGGGAGGTAAGGTGCAAACACGTCCATTTCAACACTATATACAATGTATAGTGTTGCTCTACGTATGTGTGTATGTGGGAGGCAGTGTTGTGAGTATTTGGACTCACACCAATGAGACGACACTACACTCCCATTACATAATGACATTTCCCTTTTAGTTCCTTCAGTCTGCATATTGTGCAGGCCTTTATATTAGTCCCTGAGTAAAACATGATCCTCTCATTAATTTAGAAAAACTGTTTGTATCATTGGTATCATATATTTGTGTGTGTGTGCACGTGTGTGTGGGGATGAACTTGAGACTTTGTCAGGAGACTCTCATAACGTGACAATCAGTACTGGGTGGGGCATCGTCAAGAACCAACAACAACTTAGAAGGAAAGTCCCCACAAGGTTCTTCATTTATATTAGGTAAACGTTGGTGTGTCAGAGTGCTTGTGTGTATGCACGTGCGTCAATGCATACCTGTGACAGGTGCTATTATTACCATCAACATGATCGTCTTGAAATGGTGGTAATGATTATCCAGGAAACACCATGCAAAGCTTTACAAACAGCAAAACAAAGACTTTCATTTATCAAACCGGCTTGACACCATCAGACTGGCATCAATTATTTAAAAATGCCCTGTGTATAATAGTTTAAAAATCAAGACATATTTAACGAGCAAAGAATCAAAACCTATTTAGTAGGGGTGTAACGATATCCGTATTCGTCCCGTACCGTCACGGTTCGGACGTCACGTTCGGCACACGCAGTCACACGACGAATACGCCTTTTTTTTACGGGTGGGAAAAAAGTGTCATTCAGGGCTGTATCCATTACACTATATATAATCCAGGGGGCGGTATTGCGCCTAAAAGCTGTTTGCCAGCCGCCCTTAAACAACAAACGAAGAACAAGAAGAAACACAACAACAAAACGAACAAAATACAAGAAGAAAAGTTAGTATGGCGATTTCAGATAACACACAGGAGCTAGAACCCACCTGCTTCTTTTAAACCAGCTGTGTGGGAACATTTCGGGTTCCCTGTGGACTACAGTAACGATGAAGTGTGCGAGTGGTGGATCGGACGAGGACGGTGTGTCGGCGTTGTTAGACAGCGGTGCGGTATGCTAATGGTAACACACGCCAAACATGCTAAATCATATCAGAAGGCATCACCCAGATTTGCCAATCACCGGAGCCCGGCAAAAGACAACAGCAGTTCAACAGCTGATCCCCGCTGTTTTTAAGAAGACAAGAGACATGAGAGCCGAGAGACCAAAATAAATAACGGAAGCTTTTGGTATATGTTTTTCAACGACTATGCGCCCTTGAAACAATTTCTTATTATTTATGTATTATTTTCAATACATTATTTTTAGTTTTACAGCTTGATGAAACCTTTTTGTTTGACATCAGCCATTATAGATAATATGGCCATCTGAGTGTGTGTGGTACTGTTTGTGGTTTGTTTTTAACTGTTTAATACAGTTAATTATTCAAAATGTCAGAGTTCCTTATTTTTAAACTGAAACTTGCACTACTGTTCAAAGAAAAAATGAAAGCTGCTGATGCTCACCAACATAATTTAAAGATAAACTATTTTAGCTCCCACATATCACAGGTATCTTTGAACTTGAGCTTTCTTTAACTTCCCTAGACAGGTTGTAATGTGGTTGAGGTGAAACCATGATTGTTTACAGTTATTAGCAAATCTCCTGAAACACCTTAAAGTGTGAAAAGGACACAGATCCAAAACAGTTTTACCGTCAGAGTGGAAAGGTGACACAGGTAGGTGTTTGCACCAACAACTTGGGCTTTAAACCTCCAAGACTGACATGCGGGCCAAACAGGGAAAACAGTTTGTGGCATAAACACGCGATGGATATCACCAATACCCGGTCGCAATGAAAAGCAGTGTGTAACCATAACTTTGTGTTATGTTAAGATGTAAATTGTGAGTTTCTTGTCAGTTAAATTCATCTGGGAGGGACTCTACAGTAATCAACGTATATTTAATTTTGTTATATCAGAGGAAAGCTGACCCAGTTTGCCAACTTCTAAGAAACTGGCAGTGGCTTGTGGGAAATCCCGGGACTCCTTAAAATACTTGTTTCCACTGTGCACCAAAATATGTCACCCATATGTTCAAACCTGCTTCAAACCATAAACGCACTGCTGTCTTATACTGCCCCCTACTGACCAGAGTTTAAGTGTGTGAACTGGGATGTGTCATCACTTTCGTTTCGTCACACTTACAGTAATGATACTGCAAATGAAACAAAAACAACAGCAAACAATCACATGGACAAAGATTAACATGCTGATGTTATTATCATATCAGCATGAGAAGAGGCTCATCGCTTAAGAAATTAAAAAGTACATATGATTCAATTTGTGCTAGGATAAAAGTTTACAATAAGTAAAAGATAAATTATACAATAACTACAAAGTAGCTCAAAATCAATCTTATAGAAACAGATGAGAAAACACATGTGGTTTAACTTATAACAGAGATGAAGGGTTTTCATATACAATTCATACATGATGCAATACATGTTTCTCCCATTCATTAATTATTAACATACAAAGTAAGTAATTATATATGGTCAGTATAATAACAGGAAATTCCCTTACACGTGTAGCATTTTATTTTGGCTTGTCATAATCTTGCTTGTTTTTTCATCAGACCTTGGACAAGAAGGAAAACGAAACTATGATGTTAAGTTTCGTTTCCCAGTGTAAGCTGATGGGAGGGTATAAATACAGAGACTGTGTGCAGAGCAACATCTTCAAGAGCAACATCTTCAAGCTGAACGTCGTTTCATCTCCATCTACCAGAAGTGAATCAAATACCTGAGCAAAATGAAGGGATCTGCAGGTAAGACAATTTCATTTTGCCCACCTTTTTGGTGTTTAATACGTTAATATTGTGTTTATAATGTGCTATGCAATGTTGTTTTGTAAATTTGGTGCAAAGCTAATATTAAGTGTTCATAATAGCCTACTAAATGCATTTTTGTAACATGTCGTGTTACATTTAGATTTATTTATTTATTTATTAAACAGACGGAAGAAGGGCATGACCCTTATTATATTTCAATAACATGCGACGTCATTAACCTTCGAGAGCCTGTTGTTTTTTCAGTGTTGTGACACAAAGACTTGTATTTTTCTGAATGTAACGCTTTTATTTTTTCATGCAGACTGGCTTCCTTCCTTGTGGAAAGAGACCTTTGAGGAGCTGCTGGACGACGACAATGAGCTGGACCATGGAGACCAGTGGACTCTGAACTTCAGCTACACCCAGGGAGACACACTCACCACAGAGGAGAGGAAGAGGGGCTGGAAGACTTTCTGCCACTGTGCCTTTGGAAAGTATGTATCTTTTATATTATATATATTTATAAATATACAGTTGTTGTTGTTACAGCAAAAGTTGAATAGCAGGTGAAATTAAAAGTTAAAGTGATTATAGCACCATACAAATAGCAGATAGTGTTTATATTGCACATTTCAGGTTTATTGCACAGGATTGCAATATGTTACTTTCAACTACAGTTCTATATATGCAGGTCAATTGTGATAAAAACATTGCTACACTTTAAAAATAGTTTTCTGTTATCTAACAAAAGTAAAGGTAAACTAAATATGCAGACAATGTCAGATGAAACCGGTCATGTGACCAGTTTTCAAAAGCCTGGTACTTCACCCTGGGTAACTGAACAAGTTCTCCTGTTTTATGGTGACTCAAAAAGCACATGATATGATTCAACCAACAAAGTTATTGTGTGATTGAACTTCCTAAATAAAAAAATAAAAAAACATTACTTGTAAGAACCTAATAATATTGGTTTTACATGTTTTATTTAAAAAGGACAATGTCCTTTAACATAGTTCCAATGTGCATTAAATGTATTGCTATTGCTTTATTTCCACATTGGTCCCTAATTGGGCTTTTACATGCACTGTGTAACTTAAATGTCAAGCTATATGTATAATTATGCCACAATCCACTACCATTATGGCAATACAATAAAATAAAATAATGATAATAATGATTACCACTGGTACTCTACAGTACAATTAGCAAACAATTGCTACAGGTCTGGTTTGCTTTTAGCAAGCAGTTAACTTTTGTTGTAAAATACTTAAAATCTGGAAAAATGTGATAATAGTTGGTAGTTGACACCCCTTAAAAGCTGATGGTTCAAATAACTCAGGTGAAATCGTACTAACTCTAAGAATCTCCAACTTTCATTTATTGTCTTCTCCTTCCCCCACAGTTTGAAGTGTCCATCATGCAATAAAGTTTGGAGTTCAGCAAAGGTCACAGTGTTGTTCCGTTACCGGCTGCGCGGTGAACGGGGGGTAGTGATCATGAGGCCCTTTGGACAGGCCTGTCGCAGTTGCCATGATGATACTTATGCCCGTCCTGGTTTTTCCGAGGAGGAGGTGGAAAGAGCGTTGCTCAGGCTGTGTGCCAAAATCCGGAAGAATTGCTACGGAGAAATGGATGACAACGATGTCGGAGGGGAGGCACCACACTCTAAAAATAATTCCAAACCACATGAGTCGGACCTGTGTGAGGCCTGCAGTCAGGGCATATGCCGTGTAAAAGAAGAATAGAAGTGTGTGTGTGTGTGTGTGTGTGTGTGTGTGTGTGTGTGTGTGTGTGTGTGTGTGCGTGTGTGGTGTGTGTGTGTGTGTGTGTGTGTGTGTGTGTGTGTGTGTCTGTGAGAATGAAAGTGATTCAGGAAGAAACTGATTCGTTATACCATTGTAACCATTGTTCAAGTAAATACATAAAGTTGAATTTTTTCTACTGATAAAGTCTGACCGAGTTTTTTTTGTTGCCTAATACTTTAAATACAGGATCAGATCAGCCACAACTACAGCACAGAAATAGATAAACTAATCCCTTATTATACAGTTTCCTATTTCAAGGTTACTTAACATCCTTTTCATTTTGCTGACGCTTTATCCAAAGCGATTCACAATAAGTGCAATCAACAATGAGGATACCAATTCAGAACAGCACAAATACTGTGTGTACATTACATTCAAAGGGCTAGGGCTTTTTATATAAATGCTTATTTTCAATTGTGCTTCACAGATGAATTGCATTTTTTCTGACATTCTACAGAAAAGGTGGAATCTAGGTGATACAAATCTGCTGAAATATATTCCTTCTAAACACATCTAAAACCTGTGAAATAGCAATAACTAACTCTTAACTTGATGAATCCACAACAAGTAGAGCTTAAAGTATTTTTATTATTTTTATACAAAGCTTATTTATATAGGAACGTCACTGGTGTTACGTGTTACCAGGAAGAAGAGTAACACCAGTGACGGTAACACCATGCAGGACAATTTGGAAAAAACACTACCATTTTAATCAAAAATCATTTAACTCTTCAATACAATACATTTTCCCATTCAAATGTTCACCCATAGGGCTATGCAATGAGTAACACTAATGACAGACTTGAAAGATGCACGTAAAATTTGAAGATAAAATGACACCTTTAACAAACAAAGTAAGAAGTATCTGACTTTCCTTATGTCTTTGTCCACTGCACTGTCTCAAATCATCTCTTGTTACAGGAGGCACTTCAGAGACAGTACATTACTTCAAAAATAAAAGCGTTTTGTGTAGCAGTAACACCAATGACGTAATTGTGGGTGACTGACATTTATTGGATATTATTAATAATAATTTGCGTTTTTTTTACCATTTCAGTGTTATATTTAATGCTTGTAATGTTATGTAAATATGAATGAGATTTATTTCTTGAAAAAAAAACATTTTAAATGAAAACTATAGGCTCCACTTCCATGTATGATCAAAGTGACAAGGCAGTTCCTTGAACTTGGCATTTTAAATAAATTTCAATTTATGTATAAAACAATTTTTTTAATGTCTTTTTTATTTAGTACCATTGCAAAGACAATCTCTATTTATTCAACATATATAATGACACAGGGTTGCCAACTCTCACGCATCTGGCGTGTGACGCACGCTTTCACTCTCAATCTCACGCTCTCACGCTGCCCAAACTATTCTCACGCCAAAAACAAGATGAACCGGCGATCGTTTTTGGTTGGTTATTTACAATGTTGAGTATCTGGCCCGCCGGTATCGATCCGCTCCCTCCCCGCCCCCACCACTCTTAACAACATTAACAGACAGCAGAGCAGTGGGAGCCGGTTGGTCAATCCCCGACACGTTTTGCGCATGCGCAGATCTAAGATCCAGTAGAAATGATAACAAAGTAAAAGTCTGCTGCTTATTGTTCTATTAGGCCAAAATAGAGTCAAAGAGTATATGAGAGTGAGTGTGTTAATTAATATATTTGGCAGTTTGGAGTAAGTCTGTAGATTTGTCTGTGTGTGTGTGTGTGTGTGTGTGTGTGTGTGTGTGTGTGTGTGTGTGTGTGTGTGTATGTGTGTGTGTGTGTGTGTGTGTGTGTGTGTGTGTGTGTGTGTGTGTGTGTGTGTGTGTTTCATGTGCCTCTCACGATAATTAATTTTGTTGGATTCATTTTCCCGGAAATTGTTGCGATAAACGATAATATTGTCGGCACCGTTGTATGACCATTTTAGACCACTGGCATAATGATAATATATAATAATAATTCAAGTACATCCTTTCAAACTGCTAGTCACATCCTCATGTAAATGGTAATTTTTATTTATCGTATGATAAGTCAATGAATTGCTTATCGCGACAAAACAGTGGAAACAAACATGTGTTTGATTTTCATTAGTGAATGAAACGTTATAGTCTGTGTCCAATATTGTGTATTTGTATATATTGTATATATATCTTATATATATGCTAAGGTCCCGCTACTGACACGATAGCAGTCATTTAGTGCGCATATGTGTAATTAAACCCATGATATCAAAATCTCACTCCAGCCAGGTACCCAAAGTTGGCAACCCTGTAATGAATGTGAGTATTAGGTCAACGTCATGTATTTTGGTGTCTGCCAAAGTAAGTGACAGTACTTCCACCTTTTCTGTAGAATGACCCCCACATTAATTCAAAACTGATGGCATTATGAATAGAAAACAGAGAGAAAAAAACAAAACAGTGGTCCCTCGGCTGTTTTAAGGGCTTTTTTTTACTTTTGCACAATGTAGGGTTAGGGTTAACTCTAACCCTAACTATTTTGATGTATAATATCATGTCTTTCAGAAAAGCAATACATTTTTTGGGACATTTTGAGAAACATAATTTTACAAGATGTTACAAAAAGTACACCAAACGAACCTAGACAACCGACCAATCAGATGCGAGCTCTCCGTGTGACAGTTGTTCCCGCGCATGCGCAGTCCTCTTTTCTCTCTGGCATCCACAACAACACACCGAAGCGGGCCAGTCAGTCTCGCCCCTCCGCTCACAGCAGCATCGTCCCCGGTCCGGTGGCAGAGAGAGGATGGTTCAGCGGAACAGCAGCCGGGGATGCGAATGACAGTGAGAAGACAATGGCCCTCGATATACGCAGGTTCCCCAATGTGCAACTGGTGATCAAGTGAAACGACTGTGTGAGTAAATGAGATGTGATGTTGTGGTGCTGGACGTAGTTGAGGCTAACGCTAACGTGAGAGAAAGCTAGCTTCGGTAACGGCTGGAAGGTACGCTGCTTTCGGGGTGTTAACGTCTTCCCACTGCGCCTTCACAGCTGTGGGGACACGTTGACACCCTAAGGTAACGCTGTTTTATCGGCAGAATATGGGACACCCTAACACTCGCTTTCCTCTTTCGGTAATGACATTCCCAGTCAGTGTGTTGAACAAAGGAGCTTTAACCGAGGGGCCGCATGGACAGAAACATGCAAAGAGAAGTGTGTTTGTTTTGTGCTCCATTTCATGCTGACACACTTCTTCAGGGATAACCACACGAGGTCTGACCTGGATATGTAGCTGATTGACGGTGACCTAGCTAATTTTGGTGAATGCAAAAGTAAGAATTGAGGAAACTCATTGTGCAGGTGTGACTTTACCTCCCCTTATAAGTTTGATGTCTCTAATGACAACCTGTTTTTGTCAGTTTATACTGAGGCATGATCCACCCTTATTTTTGCCTGAGGTGTCTGTTTTGATGTCTATCAGGTGGCAGCTAGTTGTGATAACAGTAAAGGCAACAGAGAGTGGGTGGATTTTATTTCAAAGGAATATGATGTTGATACTCACAAAGTAGTTACTGTAGATTTGATTGTTAAGGTGTTGGCAGATAGGCCTGACTTTTTAATAATGTACTTAGGTTATGTCTGCAGCTTATCAAAGTTGGACTCCTCTCAAAGACCTGATGCATATCAGTGTAATATTGATATGTATGTCAGACAGTAACCCTGGTAGGAATGCAATAAATAATTGTTTAGATTAGATCTGAAAGCAACAGTCATATAGTTGATTGTCAGAAAGTTACTCTCAAATTATTTGTTCTAAAAACTCAATCATAAAAGGAAAGATATGCTGCTTTTTTGTTTCACATTGAGATGAATGTCCAAGCTTTGGACTGCTGGCTGTTTCCAACATTTTTCACATATTTGGTCGAATAAACAACTGAGCCTTTGTTCAATAGCAATAATTCTGTATTGGAAATGATGAATACAAACAACGCTTATCCAACTAAATCTCTTTTGCTGATAAATCGATTAATTGTTTATAAAGTGTCAGATACACAACGTCCTAGCGCACAAGGGGACGTTTTTTTTAATGTTTTGTTTAAACATCAGTAGAAACTGTGGATCAATATATATATAAAGCTCTCCCCCTTGCGTGTATTTATAAAGAAGCTTAAAGACAATCTCACCAGGAAAATCCTCTTCAATTGCAATATTGCTTGTAAAACATTGTAAAGTAGCTTCTTGTCTTAATGTGTGTGTAGCTGGTTGGGTTTCAGAGGAAGCATTAATGCTATGACTGGAGTTCCCATCAGCAGGAATCATCAGACAAACATTTCCCGACAACATTCATGTGTTTGGGATTCTTGAGTTCATGAGTCATGAAGTCTCCATTATCACATTACCTAAAATGGGGAATACCGTATGGACTAGCAGCCTGTTCTTTGTATATCTGTAGCACAAGTGTAACTTAAAGTTGTTGCTTTCTAAATGATTTATATACCTTTCTATGTTTCTGGATGTATTTCCAGCTAATAATATTGCCCAGGCGACAAGAAGTGAAACACTTTCTCAGCCTCACTTAAACCAACCAAAGAGTGACGTGTGGGCTCAAAGAGCTTTGGGTATAGTAGATCATTGCGCTGTCACTGCCAAGCTCAAACTTGAAGTTCCCTGGAATTCCAAAGTTCCTCCATGTCCAGACTTCCTGTCCTTATTTAGTCTGAGACACAGAGAGACTGCCAGAGATACACAGAGGGGTGAAGTGAACTGGAAGTAAACCAGTGTGCACAAAACAGAGAGCCAAGCAGACATACTGACCTAATAACTATAGTAACCCCCCCCCCCACCACAAACATCCCTTTTATACACACACACACACACACACACACATCTAAACCGGTCTACTGCATGCATCGCAGGAGCAGCGCGTAAAAGATGTTGCCTTTAATTCGCCAGTGGTTGCAGCCTCTGCTCGGCCCGTTTGCCTCCGTCTGTCACCCCGTCTGTCACTGTGTGTTTTCCCTATCCGTCACTTCATAGAAATGGGAGGCAACGGAGGGGAGGCAGCCAGCCATGTTATTCAAATGTTCCATAGCCCGACGAGCCAGCGGCCAACTGTAGCCGGGGCTAAAAGAGGCTCTTTGTGGGGGCCAGACAGATGGCCATAGAATGAAGACTGTAATGATACCCTCAATGGCCCAATACACACACACACAGACTCCACTCATTACAGGATGTAACCGTGTGTCTGTTTGTGTGTTCAAGACAGAAAAAACGGTGTGTGTGTGAGAGAGAGAGAGAAAGAAACAAACCCATAGAGAGTTTGGTAATACCATGAACGAAATAAAGAAGAACTCACTTATAAAGACAGTGAATATGTGCGAGAAAGAGTGTGTTTTCGGTTGTTGCGTGAGGACATTTAGGAAGATGATGAAAAGATTGTGATAACTTGTGAATCGACAGGAGGTTTTATGAGCTGTTGCTCCCTGGGAGAGTGAAGCTGTAGCAGCCATAGCTATGATTCTTGTGATTCTTTGCTTTAGCGCCTGAGAGGCAAAGTAAAACTGGTTTTGGCAAAGTGTATTAGTTTTGCACGGTTTACCACACACTCTCATATCGCCAGTTGCAGACCGACAAGCGTGTAAACAACCTCCTAATGTATGTAAATTCTTCATAAAAGCAAGCTAACTGGCCTTGCAGTGGCCAGCTGTGATAATATTGACCGCTCCTTTCATCAACTGACTTACCAATCGATGGCTTGGATATCATTAACCTTCCCCTCTTGCCTGCCCTCTTTATAATGATCTCTGTCTCTCTAGCTTCTTCCTTCTGTTTCCCTCCTCTTTCCGGTGAGATAACATTCTCTCTGCAGTACATCAGCTGATCGATGAATGACTGATTGATTCAGCTGCTTTATCTCTCCCTCGCTTTCCACCTGTCTACCTACTTCTTCACTTTCTGTCTTGTTTTTCCAGCTTTGTCCTTCTTTCACAAGTACCTTTTCCTCCCGCTCATTTTCATTCTTTCCTCTACTCATGTGCTTCTTTCCACTCTCTTTTTCCTCTCATTAATCTAAGTGTTTCTTTTATTAACAGGGCAGGAAAACACAAAACCATGTTGCTCTAAGTTGTGACCTGCGGAGGAGGAAGGGGAGGCGCAGGCAGGCGGGCGTAAGGGCTTCTGCCACAGCTCCCTTTAGACGGCCTTTTGCAAGCTTGAAGCCATGGGCAACACGGCCACCAAGTTCAGGAAGGCCCTGGTGGGCGGCGACGAGGCCCTGGCCTGGCAGCTGTATGAGGGCAACCCTCAGTTCAGGGACGGCCTGGACCCCAACGCTTCGTACGGAGAGCAGTACCAGCACAACACGGCCCTGCACTACGTCTGCCGCCACGCCATGACACGCCTGCTCAGGTAAAAAATGGAGGTGTTGATTGAATTCAACAGTCATTTTAGTCACTGTGGCTTGTGATGTTTTTATACAGTTATCCAAACAGTCGGTTACAAACGAGGTTATGCAAGTGAGTCATAAGGGAATAACAATTAGGGGGATGTCAGCTTTAATAGATTTCACACTGGCAACGTTTTCATAATTATGTTTTTAGGGCAAGAAAGAAGACTTTTTGTACAGAAGTGACCAGTCAAATATATTGTGTATGCTTTGTAACTATGTTAATAATCATGTTGACAGGCACAGAAGAAGTGCATCAGCCATAAGAAACACTGGTTCAGATACAATTAAACCCAGACAGAGACACTGATTAACACAACCTGAATAGCACAGCCTAAAAAAAGTGCAATTACCTTAATAAGCAACAAAAAGCTGACTAATACATGTCTAAAAGTCTAAATAAAGATGCCTGAAAGTATTAAAACATTTGACAAACTTGGGATTTAGAGTTTGAAGGACTTTGCCATAAACGAATCAGAAGATTTGGACCTAAATGAAAATGCAATTGTGTTGTGCCTGTTTTTGTTTTGTTTCATTGCATATTTGTTTGTAGCAGGTGTACACAAAGAACCACACACCAGCACACCTTGTCCTGGATACTGTTTCCTTCGTATATTCTTACTATGAATCAGTCCAAATAGTTCATCCCATGTCTGACACGAGCCTCCCGTCCACGAGTAGACGTAAACTCACTTCTACGAGGGGATATGTCATATTGGCACAGTGATAAGAAAATAGTTCCTACAAGAAACTGCTTAAAACAAATCTGTGCATTTTTGGAGTTTTTAGAATGTATTTTTCCCTGTGCTTGAAATGCCACAAGACGATTGCCACCTGCTGTTGTTCCATTAATTTCTGGAAAAGACAGCCATTGCTTAGGCAGATACTTTTAAACACTAAGCAACTCACAACAAACCAGTCGAGATAAATAATGATTATGAGCACCACAGGTATGAAGAAAATAAAAAAGGATTAATTTTGGGATGAACTGTGCCTTTTTCAAAGAACCAATAATGGGGTGAAATTGGAGAAACATACAGAGAGTATAACACCAGCGTGTCTTTTAACCCCCCCGCTGGGATAATCAGGCTTCTGGCCATGACAACGACAGCTGATCCAGTGACTCAATAGCCATGCTCACCTCCTCCTCCTTGCACTCCTTTCTCTTGCCCGTTACTTCCATGATTACAGGGGGGTCAGAGGAAGCTGTTTGAAAAGGCCAGTCAATTATCTGTACATCTGCATGTGTGCACACGGGCATTTAGGTATTGTGTATCTTGTTTTTTATGTGTTTGTAAGGCGACCTTGAGAGCCTTGAAAGGCGCCTATATAAAATAAATGAATTATTATTATTTATTTGTGTTTTTTTGAGGGGGGGAAACTGTGGCTCCAAAACTGCTTAATGTGTCCGACTCTATGAATACATCACAGTGAATCAATTGGTGTGCTATTTGTGTCCTTTCCTATTAACCTATAATGGGCCAGAGAGGCGTGCTGAACGCAGCGCTCTGCTCATGATAAGAATGAGAGGAAATGCTTCTTTGTTCCAACAGCTTGAATAGACCGAGGTTAGAAGATAGACTATCGAGAAATCTCAGACAAAATAGAGACTCGGAGAGGATGGTGGGCTGGTGGTGTGTTTTTTAGATTATTTTAACAATATCTGTTCTACCTATATTCACCGTCTTCTAGTTGTTTCCGAATGGATGTATTCCCACTAGATGTGCAAACTGGGAAATCACAATTAGAGCTATTACTAGAAAAAAAAGGGTGTAGTTCAGGAAATGTCACCCTTCCTCCACAGCGACTGAGAACACCGTCTGAGAAATATGTAAATAACAACAGTGACTTAATTGGGTACAATTGATTTCCTGTTGTTTGCAGAAAGCCGAGACATAAACCATAGGCATTTGTCAGCATCTAGCACCTTTCGTTTGTGTGCTAATTTGGTTCCTTTTTAGTCACATTCTGCAAAAAAAATCTGTATTTCAGTCTCAATTGTAATATTTATCACTTCCCTTAGGTTTCCTGCCCTCGTCAAGTTACCGTACACAGTGAACGGCTTTAGTGACAAATGCAGCTCAACCTGTGATCCTCGAGCCTGCTGTTTTTAGTAGACTGATATTAAGGCCATCCATCGTGACCATGAGGCTTTATGTGTTTGTGTAGCGTGGGGGGCATTGGGTTGTAGTTGAGGGGAATAATTAGTGATTATTGCTCTGTGCGTGAATCGGCAGTGCACTGTCATTAGGGGGAGGCTTCAGGGAGCTCATGGCTGACAGGATAAGAAGGTCAGAAGTGGAAGAGCAGGCTGGAAGGTTTCACAATAAGGAAACATTGAAACGCTTATTCAATAGTGGGAGCAGAGAGGGAGAGGTTTCACAACAAATCATGTATTAAAGTATTAGAAATCATATGACATCCTTTACTAATTGAACTATCATTAGTGACAAGGTCTTGTCAAATGTTTTTGTTATAACTGATACAAATATGCAGGGTTTCTTCTACAGGTTAACATGCAGCTGTATAAAATATAGGAATGTGTGTGTGTGTGTGTCCCTTAAAGCTGCAGCTTAGCTGTGTGGAGAGGGAGATGCTATGTGTTCCCCTAAGTGTTCTGTGCTGCTTAGCCCCGATATATTTGATTCCCTGTCTTATGTCATATAATTTGTGGAACCAAATAAAGTATTTGTGTGTGTGTGTGTGTGTTATAACCATTATCTCAGAGATGTTAAACAGGAATAGTCGATATTCTGCCACCTTTCTTCTCCTTCCTCTCTTTACTGCTCATCTCACAATCCATCTCCCTTCCAAACATCATCTTCATGTCTCCATTCACCCCTCCATCTACTCCTTCCTCCACTTCTGCCTCTCTCTTAAGTGTGCTTCTCGTTAGAGCTGAACTCAAACATCACAACAGTTAGACACTCTGGGCAAATGTACACATTACAAGTTAAACCTCCAACAGGAAGTAAATATGTTTTCCTGTCTAAGCAACCATGCTACTCCACATATTGATACATAGCGCGGCCTAAGGTGTATGTCATTCTCCGTTACGTTTTAAGGTATTTTAAACATACCAGATTATGTTCAAAATGTAGCACCTAAACAATCACTCATGTAAAGCAAAAGTCTATTTAAATATTTGAAAGGAAACAGCCCCGTAATGATATTTGTTGTTTTATCACATCAGTTGAGACCTACAGCTAGCTTAGCACATTAAAATCACAATCAATACATACAATAATAATAGGTAAAACAAACAGTGACAATATACAATGATTGCTGTAGGTAGAAAATTATTCTGTAAACTGTTTTACTATTGCATTTATATTAATAATTGAATTATGATGAGAAAGGTGTCGAGAGTCCGTAAATGTTTAAGACCTTAATTTTTTGCTTAAAAAGCTGTCCTCAATTTTGCCATCCCTTCTTTCTTGTTTGCATTGTATAGGTCTTTCCTGTTCAGTAAAGAGGGGAACCCCAACAAGTGTAACGTGCACAACGAGACGTGCCTCCACGTGCTTTGCCAAGGCCCGCAGATCCTGCTGCTGCCAGAGGGGGCGCTGTCGCCGCGACTGGCCCGACCACAGCGGGACGAGCAGCGCCGCGCCGACTGCCTGCAGGTACAGACAGTAGGCATGTGCATCTCCATCACTGAGGCCGATGCGATGCGCATCTCGATACGTTGCCAACGATTAATACATTAACGATACATTTGAAACACCAGGCGATACGATACGATTCACCCCTGTTGCGATACAGTTCGATTCAACAGTATGCGATACAGTTCGATACGATTTGATTCAACACGATGCAAAATAATGATACTTCAATATGGTATGACAGAGTATTTTTGTTTTGTTCCTCATATGCAGCAAATCATAAATTAACAAAAAAGTGCTTTACATATTTGGTTCTCTCTACTAGTACTGCGCATCCCATCATGCGGTTTCTTTTTTACCGTACAATTTTATAACACCTCACAGTTAAACAATTTAAGGATGCATTGCCTATGATTAACAATGTGCAAATAACAACTACCATAGTGCAATGCCCATACAGCTGCCAGCCTGATGTGCTTAACACTCCTTCATGGGCTAACTCACCAGTGAGCAGAAAGCAGTGGTTTCTATATGAACGATAAAGAATACAAAGAACCTTTCACAAACAGGTTTAACTGCTTACAGGAAGGAAGACATTTAAACTATTATTGGCAGTCACAGGCTGCTGTAAACTAAACACCACTCTCTCTGACAGAACACCTCACTGAGTGATTTAACTCTATGTCTAACTTTCAGGTTTCTCTTTTCAGCCGCAGACCCCATGTCGACTCTTTATGTGCGTTGCTAAGTTCCTCGTACTAGCCTACTTGTGTACTTTAAAGCGGCTCGGCATCGTTTACAATTTGTGAGCGATTTTTCAAATTGACCGTCTTTCTTGAAAAATCCGAAGTGTTGCCAAACGTTTGATTTGTAGGTATTTTTCGGGGCGCTGTGTTTCTCTTTCTCCTCGACCTCCATGTGTGTTGATAACTGAGACTCTCTGCCTCCGTAGTGCGAAGCAAAGATCAGAGATCGTCTCTGCGGAGTGCTGACAGGATGAGGGGATATTATATGAATGAATCGTTTTTTACCGATGCAAAGATGCTACAATCGATGCATCGCGCAAGTTCAACCCAAACTGTAGCCGATGTGCACTCTTTCAACCGGTGCACTCGCATCTTGAACGTTTAGGCCGGTGCACCGATGCGAATCGGTGAATCTTAACATCCCTAACAGACAGGCAACTTAGATGTTGAAGTGGAAAAAAAGTATCATCCAAATGTTGTGTCTCTGAATTTCTGGGTTCCCCCGTTGGCAGATGGTCCTGAGCTGGACAGGCGCAAGGCTCGAGGGAGGCCAGTACGAGAAGGCCAAAGTCAACGCCAGCGATAATCACCACAGCACATGTTTGCACTACGCCGCCGCGGCAGGCATGAAGAGCTGTGTGGAGGTGAGAGAGAGTGTGTGGACCTCCATCCTGGAGCTAGCATGAGGAGGAGCTTTGTTTTCTGTTCGGCAAATCTCTTCTAAGTGCTGTGTGATTGGATTTGATTTTACAGTCAACAGAGTGTCTAGGCAGCCATATGCCAGTTCTTGCTACAGGAACATCTGCTCTGTGTTTCGTCACTGTCAGATCTGAGCTCTGCTTCCTCCCGTTTCTCAAGATTCTACAGCTTTTGTATCAAGAAAAAATCCAAACCTGAATTGAAAGAAAATGAACTCTGATATGGGCGGCCTACGGAACTGTAACCTAGATATTATCCTTTTAAGATAAAAAAGTTTGAACACATTCTCTCTTCTTTTCGTCTTTTGTTCACTCGGTCATAAGCCTCAAACTTTCTCCATTTGACTTAACTTCAATTTAGCTTTTGTTTTATTTCCCCTTCTGCTTTCATTTGTCACTGTCTACTCACCTTTCTCTCTTTTTCTTTTTCTGCCATCGCAACTTTCTCTCCCACCCCCTTCCTCCTTTGTTCGATTGCCTCTCGCCCTCTTTGTTCTCTTTTGTTGCAATTTCTTGTTCCTCTCCGTTATAAATGTTTCTCCCTTTTCTCCCATTCCTTTTGTTCTCCCCCCTCTTCCCTCCCTGTAGCTCTTAATCCAGAGCGAGGCAGACCTTTTTGTGGAGGATGAGGACAAGTTGACGCCGTGTGACCACGCGGAGCGGCATCACCACACCGAGCTGGCCCTCAGCCTGGAGTCGCAGATGGTTTTCTCCTCCTCTTCAGCTCAGCCGTCAAACACAGACGGTGAAACCAACCTGCTGCAATTCAAGGAGGTGAGACAAGATCTGGGGGTTTCCTGATGGCAAGACTTTTAAAAATAGATATGATATTGATATTCCTTTTTAAGGATGTGTATCTTCTTCAACTAAGTGTTTTTTCACAGTTGCGACATCAGTCTATGTTCCTGTATGATTGAGCATGTATGATTATTGTTATGTTTTTCAATTTGAGTTTTACAGAAGGCATTATGATACAGACACTAGACATGTGATATAGACGAATAAATATTACATGTTCAGTGTAGTAGCACCAGTAAACACACACACACACACTCCTCACTTCTTGTTCCTCGGGATGTGAGTGTAATGGAGGGCACCAGCCAAGCCTGCCAGCTGCCAGCTGATAGCAGTTTGATCTTCCTTCCTGCAGCCAAATCTATGCTAATACTTAATCTGTTTTTCTCCCCACCACCAAAAACCTTGTGCTTCCCCATATCCCTGTCCTTTTCATTTCCTTCTCATTATATTTTTTATACTTCTTTGAACACATCTCAATCTCATACTTTTCACCTTTTTCTTTCTGTCTCGTCCCCATCTTCCGTTTCTTCACTTTGCTTTCTCTCCTTTCTATCATTCTTCTGTCTTCTTCCATTTCTCTTTGCATCTCCCTTTCATTTCAGCCGTATGAGGGACTGAAGCTGCAGGACCTGCGCAGGCTGAAGGACATGCTGATCGTAGAGACGGCAGACATGCTTCAAGCCCCGCTCTTCACTGCTGAGGCCCTGCTCCGTGCACATGGTGTGTGGAAGTTGACATTCATGAGACCTTCACAAACCCTCTCAGCTCTCGTTGTCATTGCACTATTTAAAGAGAATAACATCCACATTCCCTGCCGCTCAATGTGTGTTCAACCTCTCTCTCAGACTGGGACAGAGAGAAGCTTCTGGAGGCCTGGATGTCTGACGCTGAGGGCTGCTGCCAGCGCTCAGGTGTGACCATGCCCACCCCCCCACCCAGCGGGTACAACGCCTGGGACACCCTACCCTCGCCTCGCACCCCCAGGACCCCGCGCTCCCCCCTCACACTCACCCTCACCTCCCCGACCGACAGCTGCCTCTCACCGGGAGAGGAGGGCCTGGCTTCGGTGAGACACACAGTGATGAAATAAATCATATTTTGTTGTTGGAATAATAAGTGTAACCCCTGAAAGCCCAAAATAAGCTGTGGACGGACCACCCTGTCATTAACGTTTTTAAAACTAGGTCAAAACTTGGTGCAGTATTTGGATGATATTTAAGTGAATTAATTGGTATTTTTTACATTTTGATGAACAAACTTAAAGAAGACTCCAATTAAAGAAAATGTATCCAAATGTTGTTTTTGCTGTCAATTATAGTTCTTATAAAGAAAGAAAATCAGAATCAGCATGTCAGACTTAAATCCAATCCAAACAAAGGAGGGATTTAATGCAGGTGTGTTGTATTGCTTTTAATGGTTACAAAGACAACACAGCAAAGTATTAAAGTTAATAGAATATACATAGTCGTTTTTTAAGCTATCATTGTGATATCATGAAGGGTCAGACAACATTTGAATATGGTGTGTTTATCTTCTCTCCCTGCAGTGTGGAATCTGCCTCTGCTCCATCTCTGTGTTTGAGGATCCAGTGGACATGTCCTGTGGACACGAGTTCTGCAGAGCATGCTGGGAAGGGTAGGGACCTGTGTTTGTGTGTAAATGTTCCTGCGTTCTGCAATGTTTTTGACGATTAGTTTGAACTAATTTTCCTGTTTGTGTGCTTATCAGGTTCCTCAACGTGAAGATTCAGGAGGGCGACGCTCACAATATCTTCTGCCCGGCATATGAGTGCTACCAGTTGGTGCCGGTGCATGTGATAGAGAGTGTGGTTTCCAGAGAGATGGACCAGAGATATCTACAGTTTGACATCAAGGTAAAAGAAAAACCCTCATACAGATATTGAAGTTCATGCTTTGTTCAGGCTCTCCACAGCTGAAGGGATGTTTCTCCAACACTGTAACATTTGGTGTATGTTTTTGTCCCTTAATATTTAGTTTGTTTATGCCTGTTTGGGCATTTCCCAATCACTTCTGCTCTGTGCTTTCCCTCCTGTCGGTCTTGTGTTCTGCCTCCTCATCCTTTCTCTAATCTCTCTCCCCTCTCCTCTGTCCCTGTTGCAGGCATTTGTGGATAACAATCCTGCCATCCGATGGTGTCCTGCGGCTCGTTGTGAGCGGGCGGTGCGTCTCACCCGACCGGGCCCCGGGGACAGCGACCCTCACAGTTTCCCCCTGCTGCCCTCCCCAGCTGTGGATTGTGGCAAGGGTCACCTCTTCTGCTGGTCAGTGTTCATTTCGTAACCTGAACTATGACTATTTATGTCATCAACAACCTTTTTATCTCATGATTGAGACAAGACGACAACTACAGCGCAAGCACACAATGATCACAGTCAGGAGGGTTAGAGTTACTCGTGTTTAGTTAAAGTTGTCATGGCTAGGGGAAAATAAACCAGGTTAAACCAAAAATAAGTTCAATACCTAGGTTCTATATCATCTGATGACTAAAATAGACATCAAAAGAGAATAAGATACAGTACACTATGATTTAAGATATGATACTGAGTTAACTATTAGTCATTATTTGTTATATTTAATATTTATTCTGTATTTTTGTGCCAATGTTTAAGCCCCTGTCACACTGTCCCGAAATTGACACCAGATGGACACGCGATAAAGGAAATGTTCAAATTCGGCTGTGATCGTAACAACATCGGGCCATTCGTGAGGGCATCTTAAGCAATCGTATGACCACCGGTGGAGTTTCTCAGGCTCCGGCAGCAACTCGTGTGTCCATTTTGCCCTTCGTAAAGGCACTCGTGAGGGCAATTGTGTCATCTTCGTGTGATCATCGGTGCCATCGGGCATTTTTCGCCTCACAAAGACTATACGAAGGAAACAAGAAGCTGCCCGATTGTCTTAGGAAAGCAACACGGCTACGTGAAGCCCTCGCAATGCCGTCGTGTAGCCATCCTATTATAGTACGATGACATCGAGATTGCATTTATTGCACAACAAAATCATGTAAACATATAATGTAAATAACCCAATTTGTGTTCTGTGAAACTGAAAAGGATATTACATTATTTTTGTTACTTTCGTTGCAGTTGTATGTCTTAAATGTAATTTAGGTTAACTTTAGGCGTGGTTAACTTTAGGCGAGTTTACGCTGTTGACAGGAAGTTGTTGTTGCTATGGAAACAACATGCCGGAGATAAGTAATATCTTCTAATCTACATAAAGACGGAGAAAGTAAATAATAAAGTGTATGTTTAAATGTTAGCACCCTCCGAAGAGACACAAGCTCTTACGTTGAGTCTGGATACATTCTAAATCATCAGTAAAGTCTAAGAGCATATTTTCGTGTGTGGTTCGGGGACCATCGTGTGGCCTTCTGTGTGCATCGTACTTGCTTCGGCTGTTGCTTGGCTGTTGACCAAGTTCGGGGCCATCTTTCACAATTCCATATTCGTGTGTCCATCTGGTGTCAATTTCGGGACAGTGTGACGCGGGCTTAACCATTTACTAAAACTTAAAATGCTTCAACTTTCCTTTGACTATCATACCCAGACATAAGTCAAATACAACTTATTTTAAAGGAGAACATGAGGTAGACTGTGCTAAATACTAACAATGACACAGACTAAATAAAGAAAATTAGCTCACAAAAATAACACTACTGCTTGTACACTTCATGATTCATTGTCTGTGTATTCATACTTGCACACTCAACACAGCTGTAAGAAGAGGCTACTGTGCTGACCTAAAATCCTGTGCAGCCACATTATTAAAAACCTCTTCAGTGCCTTCTTTGTCTTCTCTCTTCTCATTATGCTTCTTTTTCTATGAATTATTGACCAGTTGTCATGCGGTTTAAGTCTCAAATCTTATTTTACTGTACCTAATTCTCTTTTTATTGCCCTCCCTCCCTGCAGGGAATGTCTTGGTGAGGCCCATGAGCCATGTGACTGTCAGATGTGGAGGAACTGGCTCCAGAAGGTCACAGAGATGAGGCCTGAGGAGTGTAAGTCTGTTCCTGCTTTGTGTGTTGTTTTACTGTGTTGTGTTACCCGGGATCGTTTTAGCTACCCCTCCGTGCACTGGCACAACAACAAGGCAGTTAACAGCATGTGTCTAATATCGTTTTAAAACACAGTGGCAGGTGTTCAGGTCATTGATATTTGTTTGTGTTGGAGGGTGTATCTGAGGACAGGTGCTGGTCAATTGTTGCTAATGAGTGTGTGCGTTTGTGTATGTGTGTGTTTGTCTGTGTGCTTGTGTGCATTTTCCACAGTGGCAGGTGTGAGTGAGGCTTTTGAAGATGCTGCTAACTGCCTGTGGCTGTTGACCAACTCAAAACCTTGTGCCAACTGCAAGTCTCCCATTCAGAAGAATGAGGGCTGCAACCATATGCAGTGTGCCAAGGTATACACATGTCTGTCAGCTGTGTGTCATCATGTGTACAGAGACTGAGGTCGATCCACAAACTATTAATCATTATAGGTTTTATTTAAACTTGAATTCTGTAATGTGGTCCGTTTGTAACTCTGCTCCCCCTCTCTGCAGTGTAAGTATGACTTCTGCTGGATATGTCTGGAGGAGTGGAAGAAGCACAGCTCGTCGACCGGAGGCTATTATCGCTGCACCCGCTATGAGGTCATCCAGCAGATCGAGGAGCAGTCCAAGGAGATGACTGTGGAGGTATTAGCACACACACCCTCAATGACTGCCCATAACAGAGGGTTTGTACAAAAGTCTTGTTTTGAAAATGCTAGTAATGTGCTTGAATTTGAATATACACATAATTATGTAACCTTTAACATTTTAAATGAAACCATCCTGTTTTCATATTTGTTTGTTGTCTTTTTGCGTCTCACAAAGCCAGATAAGCATTTAATCATCTATGATCATCTGGTAAAATAAACAAAGTGACAATACACATTAATTGCTGCAGGTATAAAGAAACGCAGTAATCTTTGTTTTCTTCTAAATGTCATTTTTTTTAAAATGATGGTTAAGGTTTTTTGAGTCTGGAAATTGTTGAAATAGGTTTGATTTTTACTCTTGAAAAGCTGTACAAACCCTACCAAATATATTCACACAGACATGCTCTTACCTGCTCAAACTCCCACCTACAAGAACTACTCCATCAGCTGTCGGATGAATCATAGTATTGAAGCTCATGCTCTCGTGCCCTACAGCTTTTAATGAAGTCTCACACTAAGCCATTTGAGTGAAATGGAGCTGCTTTTTGTTACAGGCAGAAAAGAAGCACAAAAGTTTTCAGGAGCTGGATCGTTTCATGCACTATTATACTCGCTTCAAGAACCATGAACACAGTTATAAGGTAATATACTCTCCACACATAACACTTAATATAAAAAACACATCTCAATCTGATGATCATTAAATATTGGACATGTGGTCTCCCATCTGGTAGTTGGAGCAGAAACTACTAAAAACAGCTAAAGAGAAGATGGAGCAGCTGAGCAGAGCCTTCATCTGCCGTAAGCCTGTCTTCTATGTGTTTTCATTCATTATGTATAAAGCATTAATCCTATCTGCATTATAATAATGGCTCGTTCTGTTTAGGTGAAGGCACTCCTCCGGACACACGGTTCATTGAGGACGGTGTGTGTGAGCTGCTGAAGACACGGCGGGTCCTGAAGTGCTCTTACCCTTATGGCTTCTTCCTGCAGCCAGGCAGCACCCAGAAAGAGATATTTGAGCTCATGCAGGTCATCTAAAACACATCTGTGACATGAACAGGAATAACCACTTTAAAGCACCTCCAGTCAGCCCTGAAGACGGCTGTGTTATTTAGGAGAGGTTGGCTTAACTTGTTAGGTCACACACAGTACTTTTTAATGATTTTCTGGCAGTCTGACCATTGGGGTTTTGTATTTCTAATACACAGATTTGTATTTTGCCCTGTTGGTGATGGTAGGAGACCGTTCAAGGGGTCAACAAAATCATTATTATTCCCTAAAGGGAAATCCCCCTGTAGTTGTTTCGATTGTTATCTGCTTACTGTTTGTTTAATATTCTTCACACATTTGAAGTGATATCGCCAATGATTTGTTTCATAATAGTTGGCAAAATACTTGAATAGAAAATGATTAGTGGATAAATCTTTGCAGCTCAAGACATTTTGCACAAAGCATATTGGGCTCCTGTATAACATCCCTTTGTAAATGTCTTATCTTATTTGTCTGTGTTCTCAAAAGAAGAAATGTCATTTGCAACGTGATGTATTTTTATTGTACTTGAAATACTACCCACATTTTTTTCATAACTTGGTTCACCTGCAGTAGCTTTACGATTCTTCAGTCGTACAGACTTTTACGGTAGGAGTGATTGATATAAAGTACAGTACAGCAGAGCAGATCGTTGCAAATATCTGAATCACCAGTGGTCCAATCCCTCTATTTATCAAACACTTTTCAGGCTTTAAACTGAATGAAATATCCTGTGAGAAAAAGAATACTCAAAACATAGTCAGCTTATATCTCGTCACTTCAAATATCAGTGGCAGATCTCCGAGCCGGTGAAAGTTAACAAGTTGTTTCTTGTCAGACGGACCTGGAGATGGTTGTGGAGGATCTGGCTCAGAAGGTGAACCGGCCGTACCTGAGGACTCCCTGCCACAAGATCATCAGCGCGGCCCGTCTGGTGCAGCAGAAGAGGCAGGAGTTCCTGGCGTCAGTGGCCCGAGGCGTTGCTCCCAACGATTCTCCGGACCCTCCCCGCAGGAAGTAATGACAAACACACTCGCACACACCCAAACACTGAAATACAAAGTGTAAATATGTGAATTCAAACTGAACTTTAATACCTCCTTCATGTGTGTTTGTTTCAGTTACCCTGGAGGATCATGGGATTGGGAGTATCTCGGCTTTGCTTCACCTGAGGTAAAACTAAATCCAAATGCTGTGCAGCTTTTTTCCATTCATTCTGCATGATTACGGCTGCAGGGAACTCACTTTACTCATGTGTTGCTTATGTGTGTTAAGATGGGCAGTCGTCACTCTGTACTGGGAGCGGGAGATCAAAGAGAGAGGCAGTCACAGGTAAAGCACCTCACAGTACTAAATGCATGGGCTACAGGCTGTTCTCTGTGCTGAGGATTGTGAACCTTACAGTAAACAGACTTACTTTTAGAGTTGGTTTTGTGGTAACCCAGCTTGAATCCCTCTCTGCAGGATTACGCTGACATTCAGTACCGACGCAGACACCGACCGCGGCGCAGAGGAGACATGCTGAGTCTGCACAACCTGAGGAGCAGCAGCAACACGCCGGAGACGAGCCGGAGGAGCGACAGCACAGGTCTGCCCCGAAAAAATATGGTTGCACTTTATAGATAGCATAGATTTATTGATTTATTTTACGTACTGATTAAAACACATACATCACTTCACTGCAGTCAATATATACATTAAAATTCACAGAGGATGAAAACCCAATAAAGCCTGGAGGGGTCTTCCCATTGTGGTCCTCCAGTATAACACCAACACCACAAGATACAATAACAAGTGCAGACAATCCAATCAACATTAGCTGGCTGTCAACATGCTCTTATTATTTTGATCATAACAAGTATTACATCACATGGTACTATGTAAGTTTTCCTTTATGGCCATTTTACATTTTCTCTACGGCTTATTGGGTTTCGGGTTGTGGTCAGATTATTTCAGAGAAGTGTGTTTCAGTTCACAAAATGTCATTATGATGTTTCAAGGTACTTCTTGTAAACTACCAATAGTAAGAAATAACAATGCATTCATTATTTTGGCACCAAGTCTTTTACAATTAAGTGAAAGAGCAGCATCTTCATATAAATGACGTACAGTGCAGGGACTCTGGGTCATAATCCAGCTTCATCCTTCGCCTCCTTTTATACATTTTCACTTGTCAGCACGGTAGACAAATAGAAAATGGGATTTAAATGCTCCATAACTGGTCTTGTCGAAGCGTGCGGAGGCATTGATCACGTGATCACAAAGCAGTCCTTGTGTTAAAGCGAGTAGGCAGCAATGGATACTCCAGATGGTTAATATTACTGTTTCAAATTTGTATAAATGTTTTTATATCTGTTTGAATGCTGTGGTTTCAAACACTGACCTGCACATGGGTTTGTGGGTTTTCTAAAAGGACTACGTCAGGTATTGAAATGTGTTCATATATTTACATGAATCCATCCAACTTTATTTGTATAGCATCTTTCATACAGGTTAGTGCAGTTCAAAGTGCTTTACACGTGACAGACAAGCTGAAATAAGACAGATCAAGTTTGGCCTTTTAAAAAAAAATAAATAAAAAAAAAAATAGATATATAGAAAATTCTGAAACCAAAATATGAGAAATACAATTATTTTTTATATTTTATTATATTATATAATATTATTAAATGCAGTAAAACTAGTTAAAGTAGTACAATAACCTGACGTGAAATATAATCAAATTGTACGACAATAAATCATGATCAAAGTTTTATAATTTTCTATAAATAAACCATAATTCATCTTAATAATAAGGCCTGTCAGAATAGGTGCTAACAGTGATAAACATGTTCATATAACCATGAAATCCTTTTCTTACAGTTGAATCTAAATGTGATATTTTTTGTTCCAGAAGGTCCAGAGAGGAGTGAGGGCCGCCGGAGAGCGCTGGGCTCGCTGGATGAAGACGATCCGAACATCCTGCTCGCCATCCAGCTGTCCCTGCAGGAGTCCCGCAGAGAGAGAGGCCTGGAGGGGAGGGTGGAGCTGGGGAGGGTGGAGCTGGAGAGGAGGCCGGGTCCCGCAGGAGACTTGGGGGACATTTCTTTGCACTCCCTCAACACGGACGGTCCTCCAGGAGCCAGAGGCTTCCCCACGTCGCTCCTGGACCCCCCTCGACCCCCTAACAGGACAGACTCCACCTCCCAGCCTCCCGCGTCCAACTCCCTCCCCCTCCCGCCCCCACCTCCCTGCCTCAGTGCAGAGCTGCTGGAGCTGGGAGACAGCCTTATGAAACTGGGGAACATAACCACTCCGTATGACCTCGACACACACACTCAGGAGCAGCTGTGCTCTCTCCACACATACACCCACAGCGCTGCTCCCTACAGCGACCCTGCGTACAGCGACTGCAGCCACAGAGCGGAGCTGCCCGCTGCGTACCGGCTCGACCACATCACCATCTCAGACCCCGCCTACTGCCACACCAGTGCTCATTTATCCGAGGCTGAACGCGTGGCCTCCCGCTCACATGAACGCTCACATGAACGCTCACATGAACGCTCACATGAACGCGCCCAAAACCCCTCCCGTCCTAGCTCCTGTAGCCGGGAACACGCAGCCTTGTACGACAGCTCCCCAGCACCAGACAGCTCTTACGCCCCGGGCCCTGAACACAGCAGCTCTTACTCTCAGGAGCGTCCCACCACCTACGCTCTCGAACGCCCCAAATCAGACCCAGTGCCGCCCACCCTGTTGTGCCTCCCGTCTCCAGAGCTCGAGCCGGAGCTGATGCTCTCCCCGGTGATCCCTCCAGGGGGGGCGTTCACCCCCAGCGACCCGCAGAGTCTGGAGCCGCTGGACCCCACAGCCAGCGCCCAGCTGCTGGACAACATCATGGCCTGGTTCAACAACAACATCAACCCCCAGAACAACCCGCAGAGCCTCGCCCTCATCCCCTCCCCGCCCACCACAGAGACAGACTCCTCCCCCGACACACACACTGAGACTGAGTCAGAGGCCTCCAGGGACCCCGCCCCTGTCTGGCTGCCCCTGGAGGGCGGGCCAGTGGACGGGGCGGGGGGGAGTCCTCGTCTGGGTGCTGTGGGAGCGGAGGTCCCGACGACGTCGAGGCCCAGCACTCTGGAGCTCGACAGCAGAGCGACTGGAGAGGAGGGGGTGGACGCAGGGTGTGTGGCTGACCTGTCGCTGGACGAAGCGCACACACACCCGTGCTCACACTCCCAACGTGGAGACAGTCCCGCACACACGGCCCCGGACACAGAGAGAGACTTAGACCTCGTCCTTCAGTTAGAGGGGGAGCAGTCGCCTGAGGAGTGGGAGGAACAAGTGCACCTAGTGTGACAGAACAACGTGGAGAGAGAAGGTTAAGACAAAGAGAGGTGGAAGAAAGTCAAAGACTGCGGAAAACATGAGAAATAATGGCGATGCCTCAATGAAAGATGTTCTTAGGAGTGTTTACTGTGTGTATTATACTGTATCTAGAGAGGACACGAAACCCTGCGGACTTTCTTCAGTTACGATGATGTCATATGCAGTTTGATTTCACTTTTTTATTTTTAAAGTGCTTTTGTCTGCTCTCAAACAGACAAAATATTAGTGTTGAATTGCAAAGTACATCAATGGAAAGCTACTGATATCATAACACATAATGCATAATACACATGCACATGTTTTCTTCCTTTATTTATTCCCTGTAGTTTTCTTCTCCGTTTGTTCAGGGTGAAGTTTTGGTTCTGATCGTGCTGGAATCCAAACTTGCCTCATATTCTCACACCTTTTATTATTGTCACACCGACCCTACCACGAGCCTCCTGCAGCCAAATATGATGTAACCTTGGAGCTGGTTGAGCGTACTGTACAATCAGAGGGCCTGGTTCTGATGCTTGGACCTTCTTGCACACTGTGCCTGCTTTGTTAGGGAGCCAACACACTGCTGTTTGGTAGGCTGCAAGGAACCATGATACACTCTCCTCTGCTTTTTGTTTGGGAGTTGTTGAACCCCCTATTTTTCCTTCTCACTGCAACACCCAGTCTTTATCACAAATGACCTTTCATTCACAGTTCTGTGTTTAACACCTGCTTTGGCTCAGTTTTCAATGTGCATCATTAAAAATATATATTATAATGATTTTTTGCGTCAAAGTTGACGTGGAATACATTACGGACAATTACATTTTACAGCATCATCATATAAATATATTTTTCTAATTTAAAAAATAATTGATTGAACTAAGATGCTGTAATTTAAGTCTAGAGTCTGACACTACAGTGAGTCACATATTCAAACACCTTTTTATGTTGAAAAGTTAAATATATCAAGTCAGTAAAGACTAAAGAAATTCTTTGTCAACAGTCTTATGATGTTGATTAGTTCATTTAATCAACATCTGTAGACTTTTCCTTTTAGAGTTTTCCATAGATAATCATGCAAAAGCAACCCTTTTAAATGTTGTGTTTACCACAGATGCGTTTAAGAGTAATTCAGTGTTAAAAAAGCTTTTATAAAAATGACTAAACGACATTAAAAAGTGTAATTGAGAGGAGACGACTACACTTTGTTCATTGAGCCAAAGCAATCAGACAATATTGTTCATGGAAACACTCGTCTAGTTTGTTTTGATCATATCTATTCCACTGCTGATGACGAGTACAGTGTGCCGTTTAGAGATGGGAAATGGGTTGGGTTTTTACTGTCATTTATCCTCTTTTTTTGATTTCCTTATTCCTAATCAGAGATGATTTTTTTTTTCCAGTTAAGAACTGAGTCGTTGAGTCCGTGTGCCTTTTTTGTTCGAGTCGTATTTGTTTATTTGTTGGTATTTATTAGTGTCATTACTTTTGAAACATGCTAAACACACCACTGTGGCTGCTGCCGTACACTGAGATGCACATTCGTTTTATTTATCCTCAAACCTGAGATTTATTATATTTTACCTTATCCCCAGAGAAAAACTGCTGTGACACCAAGTCAAATTATTTCAGAGTTTCCCCTAGATTTAACAAATCCTTTGATCTCAACGTTGTTCAAATGTAGTTGGCCTTTGACTTTTCTTGAAAAGCCAAGTAGCACTCTGAGACCTGGGATGTCACTTTAAACTTCTATCTTAAAACGTTATTGCCCAACTGTAATGTTTACACGAGAACTAGACACTGCCTGTTGTGTTGAGATATGATCTGGTGCTCTTTGGACTGAAATGAAAATGGAGTGTTTTTAATCATACTTTCACGGCAGGACACGCTTATGTAAAGATATCCTGATTTTGTTGAAAACAGAGTGTGATATGCAATCAAAAATGCATAACTTATAATGGAGAGTTTGAGTTTTAAGCTTGTTTGAGGTCTGGAGTGCTCTATGACGTGACACAAAACCCTAAAATATCACCTTTTCCTCTCTAAACTGTGAAGGTGTTGACAGACATTTCATTATGTGAGGAGAGCTGGTGTCACCCAGAACATTTCAACATTGTTTCCCGAGGAATGGTTTAATCAACATTTATTTTAGGTTGCATTGTTGCACCAGGATACACATTGGAAAAGTCTGGGGTCTTTTAATTTGCACAGGCATGCTGTCGATGTGTTGCACTAATCCAGTGCAAGATGTGGAGGACTGATGAGGGTGGCTTTTATTATTATGATGATATTTTCCTTTTACATTTTCAAGGGGTGTCAAGGGAATGGTCCTGTGCCAGTTTGTACTCCATAAATAATGTTTATATTTTAAAGATTCCTCAATCAACCACTACAGAGTTTGAAAAAAAGAAATTGCACTTCATAGATTATACTTGATACATTCCCAGTCAGTCCATAAGAGAGGTTTGATGTGTGGCCAAAACTGTAAATGAAAGTGTCAGTGCAAAGTTTACTCTCAATAAAAACAACTGAAAGTGTCTCGCTCTATGTTTTTCTTTCTGTGATGGTGATTTCCAAAACCATCAACAAAAATCTGCGAAAGAGAGAATATTCTCATTAGATTATAAGTTTAACGTGTTATAGCTGTACGGCTGCCATCTGCAGTCGTTTTCTACTTGTAGTACCATGCGTGCCAAACATGATCAGAAACCTATTACAACAGTATGTTGATTGCAAAAAAGTCATCTAAAAAGTAACATTCATTGAGTATGTATCTCAAAACATCATGCCAGGGCTGCAGACCAAATTAAACAATATGTATTATAACTATATATATATATTAAACTACAACACTGACAAACCTGCTATACATTTATCAATATCTTTCCACAGCTCCTACTTAAAAACATCAAATGTAAATCTTATTTAGACCTACCTCTTCTCCATAGCGCATGGCACTTTGTAGATTGTTGCTTTAAATTGTCTATTATTTTTACTACATGGCTGTTATTATTTAATTATTTTAATTGTACCTTCTTATTTGTATTTTTACCTATTTTATGGTTTGAGCTGAGTGATGTTTTTGTTTTTCAGTCATTTATTTATTTCACCTACAGCACGTAGGTCTGGAGGTTTCAAAGCTCTTTTCAAATAAAGCTGTATTGTATAAAAGCATGTTTCAGGATTTAATTCACATAATGAGAAATTATTTCCAAGTGAAACTAGGATAAAGTTGACCTTGAAACACGTTTAAAAAACCCTCTTTATTCCATGGTTTTCATGATGTTCTCTCCTCCACCGTCACGCGGCGCTGTTGTTTTCTCTTGCAGTTTCCACCTTCGCTGTCGCTCTTGTCATGACGTCGTATCAGCGCGCCCGAAACGTAACGCATACAACAGCGGCGGCCTGTGTTTTCACTCGACTGCTGTAATTTTTACCTTTTGTGGAGGATTTGTCTCTACAGTCCATCACAATCATGAAACTCGTCAGGTAAGTGATCGTGAAAAATATCTGTTTATCTAATGCTGTGATGAGAGGCGATGAAAGCGAAGCGGAGCTGACGGATGGAGGAAGATGTTTAACTGAGATCAGGCGGGAAGAAGAAGAGAGCGGAATGAATGGAGGCTCTTTGATGTTCAATGACTGCTAGCTCTACAATAAACTCACTCAAAATACACACTCACAAGCGTAGTGTTTAACTAACTAGTAAAACGTGCATTTCAATGTGAAGTCCTGCAGGTATCATAGCAACAATATTTGCTAACTAACTTGATCAGACAGCGACATAAAGGTTAGCTTGTGTTAGCTCACAGGCCCGGACTGTATTTGTTAGCAAAGTTATTGTTTAATGCATTCAGTGATATTATTTTTGAAAGCATAGCCGAAGTCAACAATGCATTTAGTTTGTTAATGTTACTTATCTAATAAAAGGAGTGGATTTGCTATGTGAATCAAACCCTGCAGAGTACTTTTGTTTTGGTGCTGAATGCTACACAGCCAGTGGCTAACTTTGGCTAGTTACTGTAGCTAACTTCAGGCTAGTCTTTTGTTTTACACGATGTATAACGGTGAATTAACATAATTCTTAAACAAAAGATCAAGGGCAATGTTCAACTTAAAGATATGTGTTCACACTGTAATCTTGTTTTATTGCTACTCGCAGGTTTTTGATGAAACTCAGCCATGAGACGGTCACCATTGAACTGAAGAATGGCACCCAGGTCCATGGCACAATCACAGGTAGGATCTATCTGCTGCTTTATTACAATGTGTTGGCAAGCCTCCCTCACAGGGAACCTGCAGTCAATTGTGTTATTAACGTCATGACACACTTTAAGTCAAATGTTATCCATTGTTCTCCCACAGGTGACAATACATACACCATATACATATAAACATTACATTACATTGCATTTAGCTGACGCTTTTGTCCAAAGCGACTTACAATAAGTACATTCGACCAGGAAGACACAACCTTGAAGAAAACAGAATCATATAAGTACATCAGGTTTCATAGAGCCAAACATTTCAAGTGCTACTCAACTGGGTTTAGGTAATCCAGTCCTTTATTGGTATAAAAGTGCTTCGTTAATCGTTCTAACGCTCGAAGTGGAGTCGAAAGAGATGAGTTTTCAGTTTGCGCCGGAAGATGTGCAAGCTATCTGCTGTCCTGATGTCAATGGGGAGCTCATTCCACCATCTTGGAGCCAGGATAGCAAACCCACGTGTTTTCGTGTAAACCTGTACCCAATTAATTAGGATTACCTCAAATGAATGCACGGCAATCCAACAGTGCTTCTTTACATCGTACCTCCGTTGAAGCTTTATTTTTTAGTTGTTGTAACTGCTTTAAAAGGGCCTGATTGAACTTAAAACACCCCCCAACATGATCATTTGTATATCAACTACAGAAATGTGTAAGCTTGAATTCTTGAAAACAAACTTGAAAACATGTCTTAACAGTAAGTTAACAAAGAAAGTTAAATAAAAAATGGCCACGCTATAAAGGCATAACTATATAAAAACAACCTTTTTCAAATGCTCTCACAACCTGTGCAGTATGATCTAATTTCATTACTTCGCAAATGCATGTAGTCTTACTAAGTTGTACTTCTTGAAACGCATCTGCTTAAATGGTACGTTCTGTGATGTTTATCACGCCTTTACAAGTGTGAGACTGTTTTGATGGAAGTGTTTTAAAGATAGTTTTGCTGTTGATAAACAGGCACTCATTTACTTAAGTTGATTTAAGAATCTTCCCCAAGGTTTAATTCTTTGTTCACTGTGGAACCATGCACACTTTCCTCGAATTCAAGGTAGCACAGAGGGAATTATTAAGGAACAAATGGTTGTTTAAACTACTTAAAGCTGTTGGATTGTTATTACAATATATACTTCTACAGTTGTACTCTGATTATCACTTTATGGTTTCATGTAGTACTTTCCTCTCGGCTTTGTAAATAAGAATGGGAGTTGACTTGTCCATGTTAACTTCAAGGTTTGTTTTCTTTCTTTTGCCCCATTTTAGGTGTTGATGTGAGCATGAACACCCACCTGAAGGCAGTTAAGATGACCCTGAAAAACAGAGAGCCCACTCAGCTGGAGTCGCTGAGTATCCGTGGCAACAACATTCGCTACTTCATCCTTCCTGACAGCCTCCCACTGGACACCTTGCTGGTTGACATCGAGCCTAAAGTCAAGTCAAAGAAGAGAGAAGCCGGTGAGAAATGTGGAAACATTGAGGTGTTCAGACGACAGATGGAGCATTATGTGTGGCCTCATCTTGTATTCATATTGTTCCTGAGCATTGGGGGTGTTAAAGTAAAGGACATGTCCACAGTTGGATTTGCAAAGGACCAGCGTTTCTATACATTCAGACTTTTCTGTGGGTGTGTTTGAGCTTAAACCAGTTAGATTTTTTTGCAGGCGGACTAACTCAGCATTTGTCTTTCTATAAATAAGAAACAGCCTACATCAGCAACCTGTGTCAGTGTTAAATCCAACTTGTATAGCATTATAAATGAGCAAGATGTCAACATGATTGATAATAAACATGATGCCACTAGCCTAGTGGCATCATTTTAAAATGCCAGTCCTCTGTGACAAAATATCAAACCTGTTTTCCTGAAACTGTGTCTCAGGGCTTCTTACGTTAAAAAAACAAACAGAATGTGTCATACCCGCCTAACGGGAAGAAACTCAGCAAACTGACGATACGAACCATTTTTATCGAAACAAAACAGAACTCTCACAAGAGGCGTCTAAATGAGCCCTTAGCAAAAACGGGCTAATGCTACTTCTGGTCATAACTAGCAAAAACGATCTTTTATACTTCATATTATCTGCACAAACGACATATCGGCTGAGATTCCAGAGATTCCATTGGTATAAGTCTCATCATTGCACGGCCAGAACTCACTGAGCTAGCAGTCAGAACAGAGCAAGAAAACAAGAAACAAGACTTTTCTACAACCAACTCACAGGTTTATTATTGCTTTGAGAAAAAAAGATGATTCATTAACCCCTTTTAGAAGTGAAGACACAGTCATTTGTTCTGGGCATGTCATTTTCGAGCCTGAGACCTGAAAAACAGGCTTGGGGCTTAACAGGTTAAAATTGCAACAGACCAGCCCCACCCATCGTGAAATGTGACTGGGCGATTTCTCAACAGTTCTATTGAAATATTGATGTACAGGCCTTAATTACCCACAGCTGATCCCCTTTTATTTACGCTGACCTAAGCAATGAGTCTTCGTCATTATTCTTTGGCTAACATCAATTGAATTGTTAGTGAGTACTTATTTGGTTCTTAAGAAACTAGAATAATGAAATCCTAATCATTTGTTTGATGCAAAAATGCTCCATTTGTTATTGACTAAGTTTGTAGAGGTGGCATTTTCTCCCTAAACATAATCAAGACAGACGTGAATCTATTTTGAATTTGCTTGTTTAAGTTGTCTGGTACTCGGCTCTTCTCTGAAGTAGCATTACAATGAAATAGGATAGATATACATCGAACATGATTTTATTTTTTTAAACGTATCAACTTATTTGTGTTTTGGTCTCTCGCAAACTGTTCCCTCAGCTTCAGACCTAACATATTTTGCATACGAAATGGACTTGATATTCAGTTATATGATTCCTATACTGCTATCCTTACATGTTGGTGAATGTTTGACCCATGTGTTTGACCCTCCTGTGTGTTCTTCTCAGTGGCTGGACGTGGAGGAAGAGGCAGAGGAAGAGGCCGCGGCAGAGGAAGAGGAAGAGGCCGGGGCGGCCCGAGGAGATGATCACCTGGCTTTACGTCTGCTGTCCCCCACCCCTCTGTTTGTACAGGAATCTTTTTTTTTTCCAGAAGAAACATTTTGTGAATTTCCATGTGTTTTTTTGTTTTGTTTTTTGTTCCTTATTTTGTACATTAAAATCCTTGTGGAGGATAAACCTGACTCGGTGTGTCATTGCAGCGTTTGCAGCAGGGGTTATTTTGGTTTGTCATTCGATTGTTTACGAAAAATTATGTCTTCATTACACTGAATAAAGAACCATCCATCTTCTCCCGCTTATCCGTGGTCGGGTCGCGGGGGTAGCAGTTCCAGCAGAGAGCCCCAAACTTTCTTTTCCCTGGCGACATCAACCAGCTCTGACTGGGGGATCCCAAGGCGCTCCCAGGCCAGCGAAGAGATATAATCCCTCCACCTGGTCCTAGGTCTACCCCTTGGTCTCTTCCCAGCTGGACGTGCCTGGAACACCTCCCTAGGGAGGCGCCCAGGTAGCATCCTAACTAGGTGCCCGAACCACCTCAACTGGCTCCTTTCGACGCGAAGGAGGAGCGGCTCAACTCCGAGTCCCTCCCTGATGACCGAACTTCTCACCTTATCCCTAAGGGAGACACCAGCCACCCTGCGGAGAAAACCCATCTCGGCCGCTTGTATCCGCGATCTCGTTCTTTCGGTCATGACCCATCCTTCATGACCATAGGTGAGGGTAGGAACGGAAATGGCCCGGAAGACAGAGAGCTTTGCCTTCTGGCTCAGCTCCCTTTTCGTCACAACGGTGCGGTAAAGCGACTGCAGTACCGCTCCCGCTGCTCCGATTCTCCGGCCCATCTCACGCTCCAATAAATATAAATAAAGAACCTTTGCATTCAAATGAGTATTCATCTCGTGAAGAGCAGATAAAATAAATTCTACACTAACTGAAATGATCCACATGTTGAGTTTGTACCCTTACCAGCTGAATTGCTTATGGCTTAACTACTCATAAGAATGCAGCACTGTTTTTTTATTAAATCAAATCTAAACCTTTTGGGGGTAACTTGTACGTTTGAATATCAGAATCAAGTGTTTTTCCATGTACGTTTACACACATACAAGGAATTTGGATTGGTGTATGGTGGTTCAAACACAAAGAAATAAGTTGTAAGAGAAGGAAAAAAATGTAACTATTATAAAAAAGAAAATATTAAAATAATATACATATTTAACATATACAAATAATTATGTACACCAATTATAAAGAAGCAAACAAACCCTAGTACAATTAATATATATATATATAACAATCTGCCGTATTGTTTAAAGTGGAGAGCTGGGTGCATTTTTTTTATAGAGGTAGGGATATATAGAAATTTGCAAAAATATTAAGTGAATATTTAAGGTTATGTAGAAGCACTTCAATTCTGAGGCTTTTTTTGTTGGTTGTGTTTGCAACAGAACATGCAGAGATCACCATCTAACCCGGAAGTAATCTATATAAGCCGGCCACCCTCAAATATATTTATATATATTGTTATTTTTAAGTTGCCTCTTCTGTATTTTCAACAACGTGTTAAAATGGGTAAAAGGCTTCCCGGGTTAATAAGTATCTCTCGTTTCAGTCTAAATAGAGCCGCTACAGCCCGCTCACAAACCCGTCAGTCCGCATGACGGCGGCAAGGGGAGCAACCCGAGGGACAGCGTTTGAAAACCGACGTAATTTTAACAAATATCACGTTTTAACCATAGACTGTGGCTGCAGTCGAATAGTCCATTTAGCTTAGGAACCTATGAAGGTAGATATGGTGCAAAATGCGAGAGCGTGTAAAACCTGATGTGAGCACTTGCAGAAAAAAAATCTGAGCTTGTGTGCATACATTTACACTTGTATAAAATATCCACGTAACTGTGAACCAAATGTACACTTGTATAAAATATTGTAACGTTCCCAAGATGAGTCGGAGACAGGCTTGTAGTTATTAGGCTTTAATAACTAGTTTGAAGACAGATGAAAACAGGTCAAGTACACTTCGTGGGTTCTACCGCACACTAACTTATTTCCTGAACCAACCACAAGATATAGCACTGTCTACGTCACAACTCCCCGTCCGCTCCACCAACCACCGGCCCGCACCTCAGCCGCGATGCCTAAGTGACACCCTGAGCCTATCAGGATCGCTACAATATCCACGTAACTATGAACCAAATTTGAAGTCACAGAAGAAAAACATTTTTTTACAACTTGACGAATCTGCTCTGTGGCAGTATAAATCGACGAATCTGCGGTCTTGACTTTTGCTACACTTCTTGCGATAAATGTGTCGCAAAAGTAATTTTCACCTGTAGATGTGGGGGGAGGGAGCATGCATCCATGCAGCAGACGCACACAATGACGTCTGCTGGCGCATCATAAACACGTCAGATAGTGAAAGTGCAGTCGGATTCTCTAAAGTACCGCAGTCTCTTCTCCTAAATCCTTTTGAATTATCCTATCCACTATCCCTTAACCCCGTGACGTTTCACTCAGAGGTCAAGGAAGAGACGATAGGGTTAGAATTTAGGAGCTGATTTGTGGACTATTCGACTGCAGACTATTCGAAATTGCTCCCTTCTGCAGACTGCTCCTACTGGCCACTAGATGAACTGCAGTTTGAGGCACTTCAAGGCACTTTGCGTCCCGAACACGGGCTCTTCCCCAGAGTTTGCCGCTTGGTTTTAACTTAACTTCTATCCCACCGAGCCGGTGGGAACCAACGGATAAAAACGATGTCCGTTATTGAAACCGGTTGCTTTATGTATTTCGCTTTTGGAAGTAATTTGTTGAAGGAAAGATTGCAACTTGCCAACCCAACGGCAATATTCTGCACTACCGGGCGACTCAAGGTAAAAAAAAAACACATTTATCAACATTACCAATACCGTGTTCAAGTAATGTGGGAATTGGCTAATTCAGTAGGTCGTTAAGTGGTTTCGAGCGACTGTGTGTGTGTGCGTGTGTTCTATTCTTAAGGTGGCAATGTTTGTGCAGCAACTATGACGCACACATAGCGTTCAACCATTCATTGGTAATGCTGATTAGGCTACACTTATTTACACTCGCACCGATATAAACGCTTACGAGTCTAACCCATGATAGTCGTTTATCCTATGAATGCAGCATTGACTTGTCACATGTGTTAGCTTAATGTCCGTGAATGTATCATGGGCTAAAGAGGGGACATTGAAATAAAAACTATTTAGCATGTTTTAAATAATTTTAGTTACTGATGGTTATTTACACTGTGTCCATTTTGTATTATGTTACCCCATCTCAGTGACTAGTTTTTCATCAGCTGTAACAACGGGACATGCTGTGATTATCTACTGGGGACACTGCTGAAAACACAAACATAGCACATCTCTCTACATCAGTGTCATAAATGCATGTTGTTCAAAATGTAATGGCTTATTCACAGCCTTTTGTCCTTTTACTCCCGCCCCCATCACCCCTCCCTGTGTGTGCAGGACTATAAGTTGAATTTTGGCATATACAAGAAATATGTGGACAACAGTTGGCACGGTGGAGTGGCCACCATTGAGTCCTGTCGAGGGGCTGAGGTGTGGGGAGTCATTTGGACTTTGAGCAACGAAAACCTCCCGAGCCTGGACAAGTGAGACACTCATTAACCCAGCCTTTTTATCAGTTCATTGTAGTGTTGTTAACTAACTACAGTCTGGTTGTTCTCTTTATGTCCTCAGACAGGAAGGGGTGAATGAAAGCAGTTACTCTCCTCTTGAACTTTCAGTAGAGACTGACAAAGGACTCCTACTGTGCAGGACTTATCAGATGAACAATTTCCAAGCCTGCCCTCCCTCGCCTCAGTACAAACAGGTGTGTGCATGCAAACACAATCATTGCCCAATACAACACACTAACACAATCATTTTCATATCAATTACTCACTTTGAATTCTTGAAGAAAGTTTTTTTTTACCCCATGCCTCCGTGGTGAACAAATGATCAATTTGGAGCTGTGTTTAACATCTGAGAAACTATATTATAACATCCGTTTCTCACACAACAATGCAGTATAATCTGCATCTCATTTATTCAGGTGAATGCTCAATACTTCCCAAAGATTTTTTACGAAAACCTTTCTAAATATTAAACTTCATAAACATAAACACTTCATAAACATTACATGCAGGGAGAAGTTGCCTGAGTTGGATGTTTTTTTTAATTAAATAGTTTCAGCTAAATTAGTATATGACTGGCCCCCCATTTTTTAAGTGTCCTTTGTTTACCTTGGAAATATGTACCAACAAGTTTTCTTTAAAAATGCAAAGTGACACAGGGTGAGTAATTGATTTACAAGAAAAGGCCATTTTGGTGAAGTATTCCTTTTTAAGCTACAACAGCAATGAGTGACACATTCCAATTGACTTAATGCAATGTTTTGTGACTAAATGAACATGTGTAACAGAGTGTGTCTCTGCATGTGTTTCTTATCAGGTGGTGTGTTTGGGAGCCGAACAGAACGGACTCCCGGTGGATTACCTGAAGAGGCTGCAGGCCATTGAAACCAACAACTACAGCGGCCCCTCCTTACTTGATCAAATCACAACAGTCACAAAGTAGATTCAACATTAACATTCTTCAAATTTGGATCAGTTTACAAATCTTCATCATGTTTGTAGCAGAATTGAAAACAAGATAAAGTACAGAATATATTTTAGGTTCCTAACTTCTCTTACTAGACGTTTATGGAGCTTTTGACCTGTATTTCCCAGTCTTTATTATTACCATAACCATGTAAGTAATAATGATATCATGTAAATTAAGGATTATAAGGTATGACATTGCAAAAACTGTGGGATTTAATTAACCGACTGTGGAAAAAGTTAGTAACTGCACCCTGAGGTTTAGGAACTAATATTTCTAAGGTCAAAACTGAATCAGATATGAAAATGAATCGGCACCACAATGTGTCCAGAAGGTGGTGATGTATTCACTCTAGTATCCTTATCTTTTATTTCCAGCTGTTGTTTTTAAACAATTACTGTATTTTATTCAATCATGGAAGATAACATGTACAAAACTGGTTATATTTCAGGATTACTCAGGGTAATATTAAAGACTGAGTAACAAACACCCTTGAGACTTACGTCATCCATTTTCTGTTATTCTCCTTTTGATGATCAAGGCATTGAGACGTTTTCAATGATATTCCAGGCCATTCATACACATGTGCAAACTTGTTGAATTAAACACTGTTAAATTCAAAATAGGTTTTATTGTAAAATAAAAATAAAAAAACAATTCTCTGAATCATTTACGCAAAATGATACCACTTTATTTGTTACAACACAGTGGTCTTGGACATAATGATAATTTGTAACTCTCCCAACATTTTAGAGCCTCTAGGAATTATAGAAAATACACATGTAGTACAAAAAAAAAACCCACTGTCAGGAGAACAGAAGATATATGGTGAACACCAACTAGCTTGTTTTATATCTCTAGGTAAATATTCCACACGTCTATGCAAGTATGTAGAATAAACAATGGCACACCTTAATTTCCTCTGACAATCAAACATAGGCCCATGCAAGTGAAATGTTCAGAGTTGTATAATAACCAAGAGTTTTACTGAGAACGTTTTATAGAATTGGGTTTCAAAACTGCCATCTGCAGGAGTTGGTGAGCAAGAAACAATAGTGGGGTGTGCTGTGAACGAACAAGGAAAAAAACCAAAATGCACATAACACAAATAGGTCCAAATATGTTTTAAAAAAGGGTATAGTATAAAGTATAAACCAAGTCCTCTTAAAAGTGTCTGCACTTAAGTCTTGTTTTAAGCAGACAAGCAATGGTGGAATTGCAACACAATTTTATACAAATGGGCATAAATAAAAGGGTGCCAATAAAAGCAGCTACCAGGAAAAAATCATTGCTCAACTTGAAGTCAGTAGCCATTGTTGAATAACAGATTGTAACCAGCGGAATACTGCTGCAGCACAACAGTTTGACACCATTTTATCCCGGACAACTCATCTGTATGGTTATATTCTCTGCCTCTGATGAAATTGGGATATGGACCACTGACGACATACTGAAGTCAAACAAAGCACTACTAATGTGGGCTACATTAAGAGACGGCCCTCACTGACAGGTTACGTGTTTGTTAGATAATACATTATATGCACTGTATGTTGAGTTTCTCTAGTGACTGTCAACACAATGGGCCATCTTTAAATTATTCTTAAGGGAAATCTGCATTAGCTGTGTTTTACATTTCCATTGGCTCCACCTCCGGTAACACATCCACATCAGTAACTTTCTCCTTCCCACTTTCAACCATCGGCTCTGGTCCATCTTCACTGTTTTCCATCTGCTCTGTTGAATCAGTGGGCGGCTGCTTTGCTGTTTCGGCGTGCGGTTGCTCTGTGGTCTCTGCCGGCTGCCGTTTGGGGATCAGGAGATTGTGCTTGGTTTTTCTCAGCTCCGTCATGTTGAATCCGAGGAAAATGGCCGCCGTCTTCTTCTTAAGGTTCTTCATGCACTTGCTGCGCCTCTTGCTGAAGCAGGCCGCCAGCTCTGGCTTGCTGATGGACAGCCTCTTGCACAGCTCTTCGCTCTCCGTTTTGGACGCGTAGGGGTTCAGGTTGAAGTACTTCCCAATGAAGTCTTTGCGCTCCTCACTGTCACGGCGGTCGGTGGCGGTGGGCTCCAACACCAGCTTCACTGTGGGGTCGATCTGAATCACAGGCTCGGGCGGGGGCAGCAACCTGTCCTGCTCTTGCTTCCTTCGCATGGCCGCCCTTTGTTCCCGCTCTCGTTTGTTGGTCTCCATGACCTCTCTCCATGCCGTCTCCAGCCTCTTCTTAGACTGCAGCTCTGCCTCTGTCTCTGGGTGCTCCGGGGGAGCGGGGGCAGCAGGGGCAGCGGGGGCAGCAGGGGCAGGGCGGACAGCCTGAATCACACGGGCTGGAGCTATACTCTTTGTCATAGTCATCCCTTGTGGCATTTGCAGAAAGTAAACCGGATGACTGAGCTGCTGGACTTGTTTGGGCGGCTGCGATGGAGCTGCTGCGGGTTTAGGTGGCTGCGGTTGTTTTGGTGAACACCGGCACCGCTGAATGTGAAGCATCACCGCCTGCTGGGTCACCTTCCCCGTATACACACCGTTGCAGTATATGCATTTGAAAGCCTCCGTCTTTAGGATGGCATGAATGGTTGGGGCTACCAAGTGTTTTTGCTTTAGGTGCTGAAGGTGATCGGATTCATTCTGAAACTTTTCGTCGCAGAAGGGACAATACGAGCTGTTGATTTTCGCAGGTGCCGAGCAGATTTCCGGCTGGCTGCTCGGCTGCAACTTGAAGAAGATAAGGTCGAGGGAACTTGTGACGAGGGCTAGATTGACCTCGGTGTCTCCTAGCACCTCTCTAGGCGCTGTGGTGTTGACATCAAAGTAGGGGAACAGGATTCCTCCAACACCTTTAGAGTAGACTCTGTACTTCTGCCTCAGGAAATCACAGTATGCCTTGCTGGTGGGATTGTGCTGCTTCACATGCTCAGCGAGCTGCTTGATTGAAAAGAACAAAGCGGAGCAGTACAAACAGTTCAGTCCATGCAGCAGGTGTTGGAAGACGCTTTTTTCTGATAGCAGAATTTTGCACGTTAGACATTTGACAGTTTTGTCAGGCATTTTCTTCAAGAACGCTGCACGTGCCGCCACACTTTCTGACTTGATGGCTGGGGCGGATTTAGTCGTGTGGGCGACCTCTGTATGCATATCAAAGACGTTGGAGGGGAAGAGTTCGTTGCAGAGTGGACAGGTGATCCATTTCTTGGTTTGTGGTGTGGAGTTTTTCGCTTGCTCAACAGCCTTGGCGGGGGTGCTTGTGCTCTGAGAGGCAGGCTTTGCTACCTGCATGGGAGCAAAAGTATACGTGGGCATGCCGTTCATTTTGTTGCCAGTCGGGATAAGGTGACTCAGCAGGGACTCTGACGTCAGCATGGTGCCTTGCAGGGTCATTTGGTTTGCGGGTGTGTTTTGTGTCACCAGAGCAGGCTGAGTTCCAGTCTGAGCTGCCACGTTGGACTGCGGTCCGGACTGGATAAAGATTTGCTGCGTTTGTGCGGTCTGTTTCAGCGGAGCAGGAGCTATAGCCATGTTAGACATTGCTGGAAGATTGACCATATTGGATCCTTGGGGCAAAGCACTTCGGAGGGATATCGTGGCACCAGGCTGGAGCAACCCTTTAGCTTCAGCGCTAGCTAGCTGCACTAGAGCCGATGCTTGAGGGGGAAGAAAAGCTTGGTTTGTTCCGGGGGCGCAGATCAGAGTGCCGTTGTTTGCAGCTGCTTGTAACTGCTGTAATGTCATCACCGTCCTGCCAGGTTGGCCGTTACTTGGGATAATCAAATTATTTTTGAACATTTGAGGCTGCTGTGGTTTAGGAGCAATGTTTGGGAATGTCACAAACATGCCATTCCCGTTAGGCGTTGCTTTGGTGATGACCGTCTTGTTCTCATGAATCAGAGCCTGCACCTGTGTGCTGACTGCATAGTGCGATGGCTCGACCAGCATGTGATGCAACATTTGGTCGAGGTTTCCAGTATTCACTTTGCACACCTTGCAACAGTAGACCTTTATATGACTAGCCCCATTAGGGTGTAATCTGTAACCGATATACTGTTCAGACAATTTGTTCAGGTGCTTGAGAATGACGTGCTTCTTCATCGTAAATATGGAAGAGCCTGGCCATCCACATCTGCGACAATAATAGCGCTCATTTCCATGTTTGGCAGCTGGAGGGACCTCCTTCAGCGCTTTTATACAGTTGGAATGGAAGTACTGCATGTGTCTCATGACTACCTGGGGGTGTGCGATGAAGATGCACTTGGAACAAGGTGCCAGCGTACAAAAGGACTGCAGATATACATGGCAGCGACTGATGTGGCTCCTGAAGTTGTAGAGGTTTCGTGACGAGTACTTGCATACGCTACAGCACATAGTTTGAGATCGATAAGGCCACTGAATAAAAAAAGAAAAAGGAACAGTTAAAATGTGCGCAGTGTATCCCAAGCGTTCATAACATTTATATTGCGCTACACAACAAAGCAATATGAAAAGACTACGCTCCTCTTTCATAGGACAACATGATTCTCAACAGGTATGGGTTCACTAACAAGTTAGTATTTAATAATCAGTCTAGTTAACAATCATCCAAACGTGTCATTCACCTTTTTCTGTGGTTTAAGATTGTATCCGTCTGTGACATCAAGCCAATCAGTTTCCTGATAGACCTCCTCCTCATCCGAGTCTCTCTCAGTGTTTTCATCGAGATCCTGCACAGCAAGAACACACAAAAAAATGTTAATGTAAAATAAGTCTATTCAAAGTCATACATGGGAAGCCGTTGTAAAATAAACAAGGCCATACGGTTTAAACAATAGCAAGGCATCATAAAATGAATCACTCACAAATATTTCAACAATAATTGTTGCACTATTTTACTTTTGTAATCCTTTGCTGAGTTAGCAGTATTTGTTCCCATCTTCAATTTGTATTTATATCATCCATAGTAATCATTTTAGCTGCACCGTTTCCCTTTTTGAGAAGGCTCTTATATTCACAATACCTGTACTGTAAATGACCTTATGTTTGCATTACTTCAATATTTTGTATTATTACCCCTTATTAGCACATAGTCTCTTGTCACAGCTCTCTAAGTTGTGTTAGTGACTAGACATTGACTTTATTGCTGAGTTTTTATTATGATGTTTCTACTCTTGTGTGTTTACATTTCCCTCAGGATCAGTGGCATATATATATATATAATTGCAAGGTTATAATGTGTATCCTAAACGAATGTTATAACATTAACAAGATTTCCATGAAAGTTATAATGTTCAGTTTTTGTTGAAACTCATTCAATTGTACGATTACTTGAGAGTATGTTTTACACTCTTTTGCATGCTGAGATGTTCAATATTTTGTATTTATTTCAATGAGTTTAGAGTACAAATTGAAAAGTAGCCAAAATTACTAAATGTAATCAAGACTGCTCTAAAACAGCTCGAACTAAATCTGCATAAAAAGGTGGGTTTTACTTTACTGGTACTTTTAGTTAAACGTACCTATTCAA